AACTGTACAAGAGAAATCCATCGAAATAACCAGTTACCAATAAACGATCAATAAATACGTATCTACCTCCGACCGTACAGAATAAATGTAATTTTTATATATCACTACATTTACAGGCGATTTAAAAAGAGGTACATATTGCATTTGTTGTGTACACGATTGGGAGAGGGAAAAGATCGGGATATTAATAATTCCTTCAAAAAAGACCGACAGTAATCCGTATATATATATATATATAATTATTAAAAATATTTAGCAAATTATTTTATTATTAACAACTCGCCGAATTATCATATATACGCGCACGCCCAAGTCTCACATTTCTGTGTAAATGAATTATAACGAAATGAAGTAACGTTATTAAAAATGTGTAATATACGGAGAGAGTTTGGATTTTTTTTTTAATTAAGAGAGAGCGGAGATAAACGGAATGAGATGCGCATTTAATTTTTCATTGGCGCCATTATAAAAAAAATACTAGAACAAGCTAGCATAAATTTCCAAAATCTACGAAACCATTCGAAGATATCCTCGAAAGGGAGAAGCGTTTGATCGGCCTATAATAGAGAGAAACTCGAGCCGAATTATGTCGGGTCATCGATAAAACTGGATTTGGCGAGTCCTGTGCGACCCTCCCTCCAATCGAGCGTCGGAATAAGACAAGTCGGGCCCTTCTTTCAGCCCGATGACTTGAGATCGGCTACGAGAAAGCACGCGACAGCGCGAGCGGTCGTCTGGGGTAGCAGCGACAGGTGAAATCGATTCTCCCGTGCAACGCTATGGCAACGCGACCCTTGTTCACGCGCGAGTCGATATATATACTCGCTCGCGATTCGCGCGAGTCGAAAGGGAGCGAAAGGGAGCGATAATGACTGAACGTGACGGAATCCCCGCGTGCAATTCGACGCGCAAGCTGTCTAATTAAACGGCGGCGCGAGACTCAGGGCGAGATACGTTCCCGATCGAACGGGGGGTCTCGATTCTCTTCCGATTAGAGATATTAGAGATGCGTTAATTTCGTGTCTCTTGTTACGACAATGAGTTCGTGCTACGAATTAAATAAATGATTAAAAAGATATTGGACGTCACTGCGTTCCTTTATTTTTAATTTTATAATATAGTTTAATGAACTCAGTAATCGTACAGTCCTTTGTGAGACGCTTCGCTTTACTTTCTGCAATCAAGTGACAGACACTTGAGTAATTCTAAAAGCGGAGTGTGTTAAAAAGGAAGAAGGAAACGCATTTGGCCAGCAAAATTTGCATAATCTAAATCCCGCACTTTTTATTCCGCGTTAGACGACGGAAAACTTTCATTTCCTACATTTTTCGAGAATGCAGAAACGTCGCGATGTAAAAACCCTTAAGATAAGTGAGAAAGCTCTTCGTCGCGAGACACCACGCGTTTGTATTTCTCAATTCTTATCTCCTCAAATCTGCTACGTAAATTCTCTTTGAATGGCTTTGCCTAGAGTTCTTTAAATAAAAGTTTTAGATGCCGTTTTTAGACTAAATATATAACTTCAAGAGATTTTAGATTAATAATACCTATGTGGTTTATTAATAACAAATTAATTTGATTCGGTATTTCATATGTATATGAATACTACTGTTACTGTAATAAGTAAATTTGTAAAATAAATAACAGTAAATTATAAAAATTTCTTCGTGGTTAGCCTCAAACATATATAACGGATCAATCAAAAATTTGTCCAATTGTCTTAACTCTAGCTTCGCCGAAAGCTGGCCGGGTGGATCGAGCAAAGTGGCGAATCGGTCGGCGATCAGATAACCATAATCAGTTCGCATGGCGATCAATATCGCACATTTCCACTATCGATCTGTTGCCCTTCGACGGACGCGCCGTGTATATACGTACTGGCATGTATACAATGAGAGGCTTTGTGGAGGGCGATACGGGCATACACGTGACCGCACGTGCGATTAGCATGTGAATGCGTGTATGCATGTGCATGTGTATATACGCGATGCAGCAGCTGGGGGGACGAGAGATAAGCCATTGATGCAGTTCACGGTATATCGCATCATTCGCATCTACAAACTCATCTACGAGCTCGAGCGAGATTCTGTGTGTACCTACTCTACTGTATCTCGCAATAAGAGATATAGCAGCTTGTTATACACATATCGGAATACGTGCGCGAGTTATTATACTCATAAAGAGATATCGCGGCATCGATCTCTCATAATTCGAAGCCTTAATTATACGAGTAAGCCTTAAGTATAAGCCTTAATTATACATTATTGCTCAGATTGCTCTCATTATATACGTCTATGTACGTTGGCGCGGCGTTACACGCGATTACAGAGATTGTTATGGCGGCGCAAACAACGTGAGCATCCCTTATTCCTCCTGCTTGGTGTTTCGGAGGTTTAATTGAATCCCGAAGCGACAGTATTCGCGCGCATTATTGTCGCGAATACGTGTACTCGCGTCGGTACGTCCTGGTCTGTTAGACAAGATGAAAATCCCCGTAATTTCGCAATTCCCAACGGACATTGCCATGTTGTTCTCCACGCGCAATCTCTCTACATCACTGTCGCACGCGCGCGGAGAGCAACGTTTCCGCGCGCGTGCGACGCGACGGCGGCGGCGTGCGTGCGTGTGCTCTCGCGAGTATGCGTGCTGCGTGCAAGCGTGACATGGGTCACGGGGTGAGAGAAGGGACGGTGAGGTGCGTTGCCGTCGATTGACCTTCCGGGGCGAGGAGATGCAGAGCGTCTCGAAGATCCTCAGGTCCTCCTCCTGCGCCTCCCGCGCTTCCCGCGCCTCCTGCGTCTCGGCGTCTCCATCGGACGCCATCCTCCGCTTCCGTCCTCCTGGAACGTCGTCCCCGGCGAACGGAACGTCGTTAGATTTCGCGAGCGGGGAGAAACGGAGAGAAACGCGGCCGCGGCCTCACCACGAGAGCGGCATCCCCCGCATGTACGGTCGCGAACAGCCCGACCGGCGTGCACGGTGCAACGGCGACACCGACGACGAGGCGCCTCCGCAGTCCGCGCCAAGCCAAGCGGTGTGTCGTTGAAAGCACACCAACCCTTCGTCGCGATGGCGGCCGGCCGATCGAAATCGCCCCATCGATCCGAAGAAAACGGCCGCGTGCCACGCTCTTTGCGCGCGCTTCGCCGAGAGCCGCGGTTTCGCCCCCTCGGTAAAGAACGCGACGCGACTTCTTGTCTTGCGGAGAACGTGGGTGGACTCTTCGCGCAGATCGCGGGCCGGGGCACTTTATGTTATGGAACTTTTCGGAATGGATTCCAATCGGAACATACTTAATAGAACTATAGGAAGAACTAAACAATTCCGGAATCCACTTCCGAGAAGTTCCGTAATACGTGTCCCTGGTCTCTTTTCCGAGATTTCTTCATCGCGAAGGATATCGCATCCGTACCCTGTTTCGGAACTTTACCCCACGTGCTCTCGATCTTTCACACGAAAAGTTGAGAAAATAGCACGACGTTTATCATCTTATCCGTTTATAATTTTAAAATAGATGTTGTTCCTGATAATAGTGATTCCAATTCACTTATGATTAACAATGTTTACACGACGCGTGAGACACGTCTGTGCAGATATACTCAGCAAATAATTGGCGATGATAAGTTGAATAAATGATAATGATACGAAGTAAATGTCTGTTTTGCGGTCTCTCTAAAGTCTTAAATAATCTCATTTTGCTTCTTTATCGCATATTTCAGTGAGAAAATATGACGCTTTTTTCGAAACGTACGTGTCGGATTGACGCACGTTTAATGATAGATAAAGGAATGCGATTTTTTTTTTTTTTTCCCCAAACAATTTTGATATTTTTTTATATCATTATTTATACATATATTCAATAAATCTATGTTTATGGTATCTTTTATTCATGCTAATTTATTTATTCATGTTAATATATATATTTAATTGTTTCACGTTAACATATAAATTTACTGAATTAAGATACCATATATAATCACTTCTTTCTTCTAGGCTGTAATTACTCTCTTTTACGGTGATATGGACTTGTTTTAAAATGCCGTAATTATTTTTCTTTTTTCTTAAAGACAATTGTATCTGCTTTCACGTTAATGACATAGACATTTATTCAATTAAAAATATTAAAATATTAAAAATTATCTTCTAGGCTATAATTATTTTTTCTTTCGTGTTAATAATATATAAATTTATTGAATCGCATCCTTTACCTACCATAACACTTCGATTGCAAAACTCGTAATAGCTAGGTATCTACTGATAAAAGATAAAAGAAGGCACATCATCCAGAGTGACGCATCGAGCTAAAAGCTTTTTTTAAATTGAAATAAATAAATAAGCTCCTATGATTGTGTTCTTTTATACGGCTACGTAAATATATCGTCATTCATGTGTTCCATAGTGACGTAATCTAAATTTAATTCTAATTTTGTTTGTGCTTCTTCACGAGCTCAAAACTTTTTTTTTTATTAGACTAGAAAAGCAAATGAGCTCAAACGCCGGGCCCGATTCTCTAACGACAAACGTATGCGTAAACTCTGCTCTAACAGAAAAGCTGCAAAGCTTATTGGCTAAAAACTGTGCGATCGCCAATCAATTTGCAGCCTTTCTGTTAGAGCAGAGTTTGCGCATACGTTTCTCGTTAGAGAATCGGGCCTCAGAAAAGAACAGGCTGTGCCATCTCTGTACCCTGTTATTCAACCTTTACTAACTTGCCAGCTACATTATCAACATTGGAAACATTGAAGACTTATCAAATAAGCCGATCACTGTAGATTCCTGTTATACAGATCCCCGAGATAACGTTCTGCATTATCGATAACCTCATAACTATAAACGGTTATTTTAAAGAAAAGCTAAACATTTTACGTGCAATTTTTTAGAAAGTATTTCCTTACATTTTCTTTGTGAATCAATTGCGTTCGTTAATGCTAACGTCATTCATAATTTTTAAAGGAGTTTTCATCACCGGCATTCAAGATGGCAACGGCCTAGTATGTACGCCGCGTGCTTCCACGACGTTTTGTCACGTACGCACGTGTAGCGCAACTTAATTGTCGAGAAATGTTCTCCAGATTTTGTAATTTGTGTCACAGAACCCCGTACGTTCAGTTTGCGCAACTGCAAAGATACTACGTAAGTGCGACATCGCTGGTCCTCCTGTTTATCTCGTTGTACAAACAAATGTTTACATTGAACTAATGTCCTGCACAGAGAAAAGGTTCCAGAAGGAAAGGTAACGCCAGGTGCGTCGAGACACCAAAAGATACAGAGAGACCAAAAGGTATAGAAAGACAGACGCCGATAATCGTCGGCAGACGGAAAGAGTTAAACTTTTACGAAGGGCAAACGTATCGTAAATACGAACCGATACCATTGATCAGCAAAGGATGGCATCACTATAAATCTAAGGGGGATCATTTCTTTGTATATCCTCTCACGAATGTACGTTATGATTCATTAAGCTCCTATCATTACTTATTCCCCTGTGCCGTTTTCATTTTGTGAGTTTGACAGGTGCTTTGAAATTTTCAGGTGAAAGATGAGTCGTTTGGCGATGAATCGGTTAAAGACGTGGATGAAGAAGCATACGATTCTTTCGAGCATTTCGGTTTAAATCCACAATTGATAGATATCTTGAAAAGATACAGCATAACGAAACCCTTGAAGATACAGAAAATTGGGATACCCAAGATAATAAGTGGAGCCAATACTGTCATAGCGGCAGAGACCGGTTGTGGAAAAACATTCACTTATCTTCTACCCTTGATAGATGAAGTTCTAAGATGGAAAGAGTTAACGGGACATCGGAACAATGCTCCGTTGGGACTGATCGTAACGCCTTCTCGAGAATTGGCATATCAAATTGGGGTTTGTATCACAAAAATTAATTTTATGCCTTTATTATTTCTAATTTATTTTAAATCACATATTTGTCTTCACAGCTGGAAGCAAAAAAGATATGCCAGTATCTTGGTATTCGTACAAAAACTATCACTGGTGGAAAAACGAAGAAAATGATGCTAGATCCGCCTATGGAAGAAGTTGATATCATTATAGCCAGTTTCGGAGTTATCAGCAAATTAACTACAACCAGGATTTATAAATTAAACATGGTCAGGCACCTTGTATTGGACGAAGCGGATGCTTTGTTCCATGAGACGTTTGAAGACCAGCTGCGAGTATTCTTGAGAAGGTTGCCAGTACGTTTGCATATTTTTTTACGTTTATAATAACATTATTTTAATACGATATATATATTTAAGCGCAGTAATATTATTTCTAGCTTGGTTTCGTGCAAAATGTGGAGGACAACAAACTACCAATAAGCGCCCAATTCACATTGGCCTCTGCAACAATGCCTTCAAGAATGGCAGAGGTCCTAGAAGATATCATAAATGTAGGACAGCGTTGAGATAGTCTCGGAACTAGATGGCATTAAGATTAGACCGTGCTTTAATTGTTTATCTGTTTGCAGGTGCAATCGTTGCAACACGTAACCTCGGATAAACTGCATCATATTCTCGTGCCTCAAAAATTTATAAGGGTGGGACCAGGCGACAAACCGACCGAACTCCTGAAATATATCAAACCGAAAGTGGCCAACAAGGAACAAGTGATTATCTTTAACAACAACAACAGCACTTGCAATTGGGTCAGTATGTTTCTGAACAACAGTAACATACCGACGGTTCGCTTGAACGGCGACATGCAGCTGTATGATAGGCAAAACAAGTACGCCAGCTTTAAAAGCGGTAAATTCCGAGTGTTGTGCACTACAAACGCCGGATCTAGGGGTTTGGATACGGTGACGGTACGTCATGTGCTGAATTATGAATTTCCAACTGCAACCGCCGATTATATCCACAGGTATACAATTCATACATATCTACTACATTTATCGTGTCTCTTACAAATCTGGTGCATGTGTTTGCGCACATAAAATAGCAACCTAAAGCTATGATATACATATATACATATATATGACAGTTCGTATGTGTACTTTCAGATGTGGTAGAACCGGAAGAGTCGGTAGCGTCAAGGACTGCAGAGTGGACAGTTTTATAAGCACTCCAAGTGAAATTGCTGTAGTGCAAAAAATAGAGAGGGCAGTACGGAAGATGAAACCGATACCGATATTCGATCTGAAGGAGACGCAGGAAAAGGATGACTTCTATGAGCCACTTGGATCGGAAAATGAAACAGAAGTACAGGAAGAATTTAGCATACCGTACTGAATCGTATTACACGATTGTGTAAATAAAGATTGTTTTATTGCCCAATAATTTCCTCGCAGTTGCTATGTGAGAGTTATGCGAATACTCTCGACGCCGTTCTATATAGATTGTGCCGATAACGCTGTTTTTTTCTCACAGCTTACGTAATTAAGTTGCTCGAGGACAGCTGCGCTAGTGCTTTACGAGGAAACCTTCAGAGTGCCGTCCGATGGGATTAACTAATTAGCGAAATGTTGTTGCCTTGTTTGATCTCTTCAAGAGACCTTACCTCGCACAACTCCTCCATTCAAATTTATGGGATTAATTAAGTTTGCGCCAACATTATCCGCCGGAACTTTTGTACGTCTTTTTCTCGATTTTTCCGTAATTTATTTCGATCCGTTTGCTTTCCAAGGAAAGCACTCGAGAGTAAATTTCCGTTTCTACGACGCGCTTATCGTCGACATAGCGCATTTGCCAGATGAGGAAAGTTAATCGAGCCGCGCGTCCTACGCCCGAATACTTTACTCCCTCTCGTCGCTCGTCGCTCGTCGCTCCGGCGGTTCCTTTTATCGCGCCGATTTCTGAATTCCAAGTTTTAGTTCCAGGGAGGAAACCACGACCCACACACACGTATGTGGCACGCTCGTCCATCCGCTCGCCCGATGTCCCTCCCGTCGTGTCCGGCGGCACTCCCACACGGCGAACGCCCACACGGCAAATAGTAAATGCTCTCCCCTAAACAACCGCTGGTAGACCTTGCGTCCAAGACCGCCGCCGTCGCGCTGCCCGACAGTTTATTATTCGCGTCGGGTTTTAGCGAGATTAAACGCGCCCGGCACGCGCCGACGGTTCGTGCCCGCGCGCCACGTGGTGATGATGGGTGCGCCGGATCGTGTCACCGCGCGACGCACGGAAGGACCCTCGTTGTCTCACGAGACCAGGGGACGACGCTCCGAAGCGAAACAAAGGCCAGGGGATCGATTGTCTATCTTGAAACAAGGTGAAAATTACAAAAGTGAGGAAATTTATTGGCGTATTTACGACTTTATTTGTCGAGATCTAGTAAATCTGTTCACACTTTTGTAATTTTCACCTCGTTTCAAGATACACAATCGACCCCCAGGGAGAATTATCATCCATGTTGAACGCGCGCACCACCATTATTCGCGAGAATAAGCCCATCCGTTCACTTGTCCTCATCGCAGATAAATTTAGAATTGAATTCAGCGAATGAGAGTGTCTTTTACGTGGAATACTGTTGGATAAATAAGTTTTGGTCTCATTAACGTGTTTATCGCGCTATCCTTTCCAGCTCTCCTTATTCGGTAACATCGTCCGCTATATAAAAATCAATTGAGACGATTCCCGATATTTCCACTCAGGGAAAATTCGCGTTAAATCAATTTAGCCGCTTGTTCCCGGACGCGCAGCCTCTGCTATGTATACACGATTTAACGAGCGTCGTTAGCAGGCAACGCGCTCCGAAAGGGTACGACACGGTCACGCCTTTAGTACACCGTCTCATTAAAGTTACGTCTACCGTTGCCGCCACCGGGAAACGGTAAACGCGAGCGATGAGTTGACGGTAGTGACGACCGCAATGATAATGGACTAATTAGCGTGGGTGGCCGCGTGGAACGGCAGCAATACGGAGCGCGCGATACAGCATCTATCCGGGGGATCTTCTCTCTAATCTCTCAGCTAGGCCTGGTCACACGCGGTTTCCGCCGTATACTCCGGCCCCCGTGCTTCGGTTCGGTATGTGTGTATGGTTTCATCATTTTTAAATCGTATCTCCCTACGCATACAGCGTGTTGAAAGCTTTACGATCATCTGGGTAAATTTCTCTTTTTTAATAGGGATATTCCTACGGAAGAACAAAAACATGTGCAATACAGTTTGGACGAAATATGTGCATACATGTGCATTCGATTGAAATCGTATATCTGAGTTTTTATTCGATCCCGAATATATGTATATGTATACATGGCATCAGGAATATTACGTAAGCTGAATTAAATATTTAAAACTATATTTTTATCGATTTAATATAATAGTACTACATAAGCTATTATTTATTTTTTTGCATTTGATTTTCTATACATGGGAAAGCTATGATTTCCACGAGAGATTCCAGGGAAATTCATATTAAATCAATTTAACTTCCAACTTTTTTCAAATTGAAATAGCATTACAGATTCTTTCGTTTGGTCTGATTATTGTTAAATATTATTGAGTATTTGCAATACCGTTAGATTTGGGATATATAACGTTGAACACTAATTTCCTTATGTTACGAATATTCTTACTTAAAAAACATGATCGATGAAGGTTTTTTATAAATTAGTTATAAAAAAGGGGAGGAAAAAATAATCTATCATTAAGTTTTACACGATTAAATTTCTCCCTGCTTTTTTCAGCAAAAGAGGAATGCGTTAACGGGGCGTATACGGTATACAGTACGATACGTAACGACGAGGAAATAATTATATATAACATTTAATTGTTTTGATGAGAGGCTGTAATCAGAAACAAGCGTTATGCTCGCGCAAATGCGCGTAGAAAGATGGCTTACAAAGTCTTCACGTCGACGTGGATTGTTATTGTTTACGCGGAGATACCCAACACTGATTTCACACATGCACACACGCAATACGCGGCCGTATGAGTGTAACCGGAAAAAAGACGCGATTCTTGGAAACGCTCGATAGAAATGCGACCTGCGAAGAAAACACACAGTCACTCGACAAGATAATTTATAAAAGTCCGTCTAAATTTATAATTAATAAATAAGTGGGAAGCGATTAATCAAGAAATGAATTACGTGAAAAAGACATTCCAATTTTAAGTTTCAATTAATTGCATCCAAATGTTAAACTTGAGATGTTATTAATTCATTTCTTAATCAATTTTGCGACACTTATGGGGAAGACAGAAGTTCATTAATTATGTACCGTTCTAAAAAACAAAGTGCTGACTTCACAGAATCGCAATTACGAGTGTATATAGCGAAAACACGACTTAAGTATACCGGCCATAAATCTACTGTCTAATAAGTCGTACTGCCGTTCGCGTAATCGCCACTCTCGCACCGGTGACTAAGTTTTCTCCTCGACGAACGCAAATCGCCATATATAAATTCTTCGTTCAACATATCCGTTGCTCTCGGTAATTCGGTATCCATTAACGTTGCACGCGAGAGTTTCAAGCGCTCGTGTATCGGGGCAGGAAAATTGATTTCGATCGTCTATTTTTTGCCGGAATGCACCCTAATTCGATTTTAATAACCCGCAAGAATCGTGCGAGCGCGCGCGCGTACGCCTGATCTTGACGGGGGACCGTTTCGTTGAGTCATGCTTGCCAGGAACCGGATCAAGAATCTTGGAATCTCATTTCGATTGCGTGAAAATCGCGATTAGTCAGAAATAACGAGCTAACGAGCTACACGGGTGCGATTATGGTTTGAAACAATTACGATGTGTTTTGCGCTTGGCTCATGCAAGGTCGACGATCTCGCTTATTCTCGTTCGTGCCATGCCAAATATGCGTATCATATTGGTATTATTGTATAATCATTTAGTATTTCCTATTAATAAATCACTCGATATTTCATGCTGGTCAACCGCTCGGTATTTATTTGTCTAATGCAAAACACAAAATTACAGTATCCTGATATCAAATGCGACACACCAATTACCTGATAAATATTATGACCCAATATATTCACAATAAGCCGCAATAATTATTATTCGTTACATATTACATCAAAATTGCATTTAATAGAAACAGCACGTCGATTAATTCAATTGTGGTCGTATCTAATTCGCATATAGAGAACGAATTTAAACGAATTTAAATCTCAGACTAATTCAACAGAATCGGTAATCGAGATATCTAGAAATCTTCAACATCGTGTATCGAAAGCTACGGTCTACGTAGACATACGATAATATCGCGTCAATGCACGGCGCGACAGATTCGTCAAGTGAATCCCGTACGATCGTAGCGCGGCGAATTTTTTCAGAATTCGTCACGCGGACAAATCCCTTTCTTTTCTTTCATTTTTTTCCCTTCTTTCTTTACTCATACATGTTGAAAGCGAGAAGAAAGAAGTCGCTGCTGGAAACAACAGACTCATTGCGTCTACCGCTCGCATCCTCGTGTTCTGTAAGAAGTCGGAGCGCTCCGGTAACGGAGCGCCATGGACAGTTGGACACGCGTCGCGTCCGCGTCGCCCGAAGCTCGCTCTCGCGGCGTGGAAGGACCCAACAACGCGAGAGAGCGAAGCGGAGGGGGGGGGAGCGGTAGGAATGGTAGGGGGAGCGCGCGCGGCGACGACCGGTCCGCTAAGAACGAGCGCGCAGTCAACTCGCGTAGCGCAATCCGTCGCCATTGTGGAGCGTCGTCGCTCGCGCGAGCGTTCTCTCGCGATCGTTTCTCGCGCGTCAATCTTCGTTGTCTCCGACGCGCGACGACACGAGAAGATTGCGGAAAACTCGCCGCGTGCGAAACGAAAAGAGATCCCTCTGTCTCTCTGTCTCTCTGACAGCGCGAGAAAGAGAACGAAAGGAAACGAACGTGAGCGTCGGTTGGACTCGAGTGTTCGAATTGACTTGAGCGCGGCTGACTTCAGCGCGAAGTCGCTGGAGTCCAGCCAGCGGCGGCGGCGGCGATAAAACAAAGAGTTCGCCGCGTGCCGGATCGGATGAGATCGAATCGTGAATCCCGAAGTCGGAGGAGGTAAGAAACTCGTCTCCTGCCACCTCCTGCCCGCGTGTCTCTCCTCGAAGGAAGCCCCGCGTGTGCGTGACGCGTCGCTGGCGCGCGTACCGCGTAGGTACGTCCGTGGCGTTTGTTTATGTTCGCGACCGAGCGGCCGTGAATCGAAACGATCGATTTGTGAGAATTGAACGAACGAAAGAGAGAGGTGAGTCGTGTGACGCGCGGCTGAATCGAGCGTGGAAAGAAATTTGAGAAAAGTGGCCGTGAGTGAAGTCGCCGGGAGTGCGCGCTCCTCGTTGGTGATTTGTGAGAAGGAGAAAAGGACGTGGTGGATAAGGGCGAGG